GCCGTAACTTCGGCTACGTCATGAAAATTAACCAACGAGATGCTTTCATTCAGTGACTGAACCAGTTCATTTGAATTCCAACAGCACCGATATGTTTGGGTACATACGTATGGGTTTTACAGAGAAAGGTGTTAGGCGTCTAGTAGCTTCCTGGCTCCCTACTACTCTCACTAGGGTATAGTGATTTTGTTTTCTCTAGTGCTTCTTCTAGTGCTTAAGGGGCAGGTTAATCTGTCAAATCAGTTGCTCCCGATTGCGTTTGTATTTTTGATTTCCCAGATTTTACTCAGTATTTCTTTTTATATACCTGAAAATGTATCCGTATACCTGTGTCCCAGCCCCTAATTAACGATCAGTATCATTGATTTCCAATACATTGTTTCAAAAATGTCGAATGATTTCAGGCTTTCATCGACACCAGTTGTCATTGCTAAGAAATCTTACGGGAAAACGAACGTCAACTTCCTCCAGAATTCCTAGACATTTTTTTTGTTGAAATTGCGAGTAAATACAGAAAAACGCTATTCAAAAACATAAATACAGTTTTATATGATCGAATAGTTCAGTTTGATAAGCTTCTCCTTAAGCCTAAGCTGAAATTCAACTTTTAATATCACAGATAAGCTGAGCCCGAACGAGTTAGCATTTGTATTGCTGCCGACCAAAGGTTGATTAATACTACTAATCTATTACAGATATATTTTGCTTATTTTAGCGAATTAAATTCAACTCAATGATTAACATATGTAGCGGAGAGTGGTGTAAAACCGGGTACCTTGATTTTGGCATTATTAATTCTCCTTTCTAGTGGACAAATTCTGAATTATATTCTGCTAGTGAAGAAAACAGAATGGTCATAGTGGCCGTGTTGTTGCTGTTGAATTCACTTCGTCTGTGAAGGTTTATTTGTTTTACGACGCCAACTCTCCAATGTTCGCTCCTTTTTAAACTGACCCTGCTTATTAACTATTACAATTATAGAAACTATATGTAGTCCGGCTTATTATATGTTTACTAATGATTTATATCCTATCAAACAATAAAAATTTAGTCAAACAATATTTTGTTGTCCTGTTTTTTTTATATAACCTCTGCCCTCGGGGTAAAACCGGGTACTTTTAATGTGGTAAAATTGGGTGCTTTTAATGGGGTAAAACGGGGTACTATGGGAAACGACGGATACCCGACCGAAGAGGATTTTCTTTGATTGTCAAATAGTTGGTAATTTGCGAGGGTCATTCCTATTTGACATTTGAGTCAAATGATCTGATGGAAAGCATTTCCAATTTATTCCGATTTCCAATATTTTCTTTTTTGTGGTAATTTAAAGTAATGCAAAGACTTATTTTAGTCAAAATTTTAAAAAGAACTGAAATTTATTTATACTATTATTTCTTCGCTTGCAAATAAACGATTTTAATTCAGTTTTTCTCATATAAAACTTAAAATACATGTAAAATTAAAAATATTTTTCTCAAAGTCTTTGCAATTGTTTGGTTTTATTTAACACATCGTCATTTCGACTGAGTTCGTCTCTTAGTTAGCTTGAATTTTAAAGAAGGAAGAATTACGTTGAATACATTTTTCTTCTTTTGCTTTTGGATTGGATTATTTTTCTCCTTATTCTTTGGATTTGGATAATTAAAATACTAGGAGAACCCAGTAAGTCTATTACGTTCTCCAATTTCTTGTTTTATACAATATTTGTTAGATTCTTACATTTCATTTTGTTGCTATTCTATTCTATTGTGATTTCCAAACCAGCAGTGTTTCAATGCGCTATTGACATTACTAGGTTCCCTGTTCCATTCCTACAATTTTTATCCTTAATTTATATACGAGTTTTGGAAATGCTTTTAAATTGATTGCCTTTATTCTTAAATTGCCAACTATTGTAATTATTGTTAAATTTTAAATAAATCGTGTTTTTTCTGAAATTATCAACTATTATAACTAATATTAAATCTTAAAAAATTGTTTTATTATTAAATTGTCGTCACATAAAATAAATTTATGCTACTTTTTCAATAAAAATCTATTTTTTGCGAATTTTCCATAGAGTTAACATGTGTACTAGTGGGGTAAAACCGGGTGGTTTGACATTTTCTGCAAAAAAATCATTAGTAATAAAGTAGTAAAACAGTGACTTTTTCTGAAAGATATATTGTTCTCTGATAAAAAATGAATATTTTAGTAAAGTGTGACAAGCTCTATGTCAATTAGCTTAGTTCCAACAGGCCTTCGAACCTTAGGTACCCGGTTTTACCCCACTTTCCCCTACTTGTCTACCATAATTGCTGCAAATCTAAAATACAGTAACTTTTTCACATATACTGAAACCACTTTACTGTAGATATTTTCCCTTACATTTAATTGAATAACTTTAAATAAAGTTATTTTAGTAAATAATTGCTGAAATAACTTCAGTTTCGCGAAGCGCAAAATATTTGTATAACATTAGGATCGTCTCTAGGAGCCATTGAAACCATTCGTCACAGTTCTTTCTCCACTGTCCCGCAGCGAAGCGAAACATAAACACGTAAGTTTCTCTTTCGATTCAACAGTCAATTATGTTACTTTATTTCATTTATAGAGAAAATATATTTAAAGTTCTTTAAATGCGACAATTTTTTCAGAAGGGTAGATTTTACAATGATAGCCCATATAATTATTAAAAAAATTCAAGAAATTAAATAATTACTGAAATAATTTCAGTTTCACTCAGCACAAAATTTTTGTATGGCATTAAGATTGTCTCTGCGAGCTATTAAAACGATTCATAATAGTTCCTTCTTCACTTTCCCGCAGCGAAGCGAAACCTAAACACGCAAGTTTCTCTTACGATTCAACACCCAATTATGTCACTTTATTTGACTTACAGAAAAAATATAGTCAAAGTGCTTTAAGTGCGACCATTTTATGTTTCAGAAGGGTTAGGCAATGAAAAAAGAAGCAGAATTCATGATTTCCTGGCTGAAACACTGCCGAGTTCATTGAACTGCAGTCACATTAGCGCTCCTTCATATCTTATGGGAGGTAAACATGAATCACCAAAAAATATACTGTGATTTCTATTCTTCACAAGAAAATTATATGGATTGCTAGAGAGGTAAAAGAAAAAATTGGTTCAAGCTCTTGTTTTATGCAAAGTAGTGTGAATAGTAAGGATGATTTAAGTTATTTGAATGAGTTTCTATTCATCTTGATCTCTGAATGTAATCTGTTGATAACAAAATATTGGTCAGTAAGAGAACTTGCACGCATTTCCGAAAAGCTAGAGACCAAAATGCATCTTTGTGTTGATTCTTTTTTTCTTTTACAAAACATAATAGCATTCCACGTCCGCGCAACACCTTTAATGCTATTTAATAACCTTTAATAATGCTGCTAATAACCTTTAATGCTATTTATTCCTCTGACTACTAAGAGTTCTCAAAATCTGACTACAGATGTATACGGAGGTTTGCCTACTAATTGATCTGTGGAATGGTTTCGTCCGCCCCGTTCCCCCTTTTCTCCTCACTACGGTTGGTGGGAGGTATGAATGGCAGGCCTTTCATCTCTCATCTCTCCCCTAAGGGTCCCTTTAATGACCCCTCCCCAAACGCCTCCCCCCCTTTCGGAACAGAAACCCACCGAAATCCGCCCCACTAGTATAGAAGTCGCATGGACGGTTACGGTCAGCTTAGGAATCAGAGTGTTAAGCAGTGTCGCGAAGTGGAAGGAAAATCACAACACCCCGAGGAAGTGGCTTCTCTTAGATCTTTAAAAATTCCTCTGACTGCTGCCTGATTTTTAAACGCTACAAATTTACGAGTGTCATCAGGAGAGAGAACATTAGGCTGGTCTGCTATTGTGTGTTACATTACTAATTTTTCTGTTAGCACAGACTATGTTAATTAGTAAAACTCTGAAGATACACAAAAATGCACTGTTGTGCATGAAATAACTAGTCGCAAGTATTTACAAGCGAGAGCCAGATTTCCCATAGGGCCAATCTAGGCCATGCCTTAGGGCGCAATAATAAGAAATTGCAATAAAATATTTATAACTTTCAGCATTATTTTCAAGAAAACATATAAAATGCTATTTTTAAGCACATCCATGCACTTTGAATAAGCCGGGGTCACATTTACTTTGCCTTTCTCTATAGTTATGATGTGCACACAAAAGGATAGGGCTCAGAATTAAGTGATTTGGCCTAGGGCACAAAAATGTCTAAATCCGTTCTTCTAGAAGCAATGGAAAAACTGCAAGATGAAAAATAATTCAATTTATAATTCAAAACTTAAAAGTGATTAAAAGAGAGAAAAAAATAGCAAATAGATAAATGTTTACAATACTGCTTAATAAGAACTTTATTATGTTCAGGGGATTCAGTCTTACCTATGGCATCACAGTGAACGATGCTGTGGCTCAGGAAAATTAACATGCAGCAAAAAGTTATAGATTACTTCCTCTGAATTTGTGAACAGTTCTCCTGCAAACATTTAAACTATAAATGTTGCAGAAGATTTCAAATTCACCGAGTTATTTGGCGATTTCATCAGTAAAAAAAGTGTTTGCAATGTTTTGCCTTTTTTTATAAAAAATTTTGCAAAAATAAAACTTTGAAAATATCATAAAAGTTTGAAGTTATTTTTGAAACAGGATTCATTCAACCAAAAATGACTGAATATTTGCTAATTATATAGGTCAAATTTTTCCGAAATTTAACATCCTTGGAACAAACTTTTATAGTCATTTGAAATATATATCTAACATGAGCTTGGAGTGAATGTTCCATAAAAAATAATCATCCAAATTCTTTTT